CAACCCTCCAGAGTCACGGCCACAGGTAAGTACCGGCCCAGTGGGCCTTGCAACCAACAAGTACCCTTGCGGGTCAAACACACACATACCCCACCAGCAAGTACTCAGACAGGCATGCATGCACACACACACAACCAGCAAGCACTCAGACAGGCATGCAACCAGCAGGCACGCACACACACAGACTTGGAACCACAACAGAATGCGGGAATCACAACAAGGCATCCATTCCAGTGACAAATCCCAGAAATCGACAGTGTTCTCAGTCTGTGTTTTTGGCGGGTCATTACACAGCTGAAAAATCAGCCTTCGTAGCAAGCATCGGAAACCTTGTTCCTCCTCTAACGCCCTGCATCTTAGCAGGTGACTGGAAGGCCACCCTAAACCCTACAATAGACCGTATCTCTAGATCGATGGCCAGCCAACCCACACAAGAGGCAGTCCCCATCCAGCGTTTGATGGTAGATCACAACCTAGTGAAACCTTACCGCACCTTGCACACGGGAGCAAGAGCTTTCACTTTGGTAAAGAAGAATCACACCCACCACACTGCTTTCTCCTTTATAGACTACTTTTTGATATCAGAAACACTAATGTGTACGACCAAACAGGCAGACATCCTCCCCCTACAGCCTTATACAGAGCTGGACCACAAACCTATTGAACTCATCATCAGTTTTGAACAATTTGTGAAGAAAGGACCCAACTTTCATAAGGTTAACAACTCGCTCCTACTAAGCCAATCCTTCCAAAAGGGTATCCTGGACTGCTGGCAGAATATGAGAGGCAGCTACCTCCCCATCCATGATATGTGGGTTTGGTTCCAAGACAACTACTCCAGATTGTCCCAGACATCAGCCAACATATCAAGAAACCTGTCAAACGATAGGAAACAACGTAAAATCGCCTTAGAAACTGCTGTAAGGGTCGCAAAGTCCAACTTAGTCGACAATCCATCTTCTCCCCTCTATACAAAGATTTTCCACAAAGCAAGGGAGGAACTGGCCTCGTGGAGATGGTGGGAGTTAAGGGTTTACAAATAAGATCGAGAATGAACGAGTATGAGCTTAGCGAGTCCATGTCAAAGCACTCCTTTGCAAGGATTAAGGCAAACACAAGATCTAGCTCAATAAAGGGCCTCAAGACCCTCTCTAATACAGCAGAAACACTAACATACACCAAAGGAATGCTAAACATAGCCAAGGCTTTCTACGAAGAGCTCTACCACACAATGACCCCGACCCCCACTCCCCTACCGTCTTAACCCGAAAACAAGGTATGTACCTTGTACACGAATACAAGGTACGGGGTACCTTGTACTCAAATACAAGGTACGTACCTTGTAGACGAATTTTAGGGTGCAACTTTCCTAGAGCAACGGGGGGGGAAATATATATATATATATAATGAGTCGGTGAAACTCCGACGAAACAGTTTGTCACAACCCCTCGTTTGTTGTCCTCTTCTCTCTCTGCCTACGGTTTACCGGGCAGTATGTATATATATATATCGTCACAAATAGAACTGCCCGGTAAACCGTAGGCAGAGAGGGAGAAGAGGACAACAAACGAGGGGCTGTGATATATACATATATATATATATCGTCACAAACAGAACTGCCCGGTAAACCGTAGGCAGAGAGAGAAGAGGACAACAAACGAGGGGTTGTGACAAACTGTTTCGTCAGAGTTTCACCGACTCATCAGGACGTTGAACCCTATATATATATATATATTGTCACAAAACTATTGACTAAGAGCATGAGCACGTGAAGTAGAAGAAGAAATAAGATGAGCAAAGAAAAGAAAAATGAAAGGACAGACAGGCAAAGAGACAGACAAACCAGAATGACACTTTGTTTCACA